TGTCAGGTTCGATGTCGATGTCGATGTCCGTACTCTCAAAATTATTAGGAGTCATGCCGCGTCGGAGAAGCTGCTCCGCTATCAGGAACTTGCAGTCTGAATGGCAATGAGGCTGGTGATTTTGCAGAGCAAGACACATCCTCAAAGCCCTGTTGTCTTGTTCGGGAACATTTGCGTTGAAATGAAGTAAGAGTTCGATCACCTTTATCGGACACCATTCGACCTTATTATCATGTGCTTCATAGAGCGCCAACTCGATGAAGGACGTAGGCTCAGACCCGGTGGCATTGGGGTCTGCACCACTCTCAAGTAGCTTCACGATGACGGGCAGAGATGCCGTTCCCCGGATGGCGCACCCAAGAGGTGTAACGTCGAGATTTTCCCGATACCTCTTAGGAAATGGCCGATTCCCGATGTCTCCATAACGATTTAGTCCCCTAGGAGATAGTGTTACAGTTGTCTTCACAGTGCTCACTGGTGCACCACTCGCAATCGTGTGCTCCACCACAGAGAGTTCTCCATTCTTGCAGCCCCAGAACAAGGCGTCGTTGTCTGTCGCAGCGTCCTCGATCCAAATACTTTCCAGAAGCAAGTCCTTGAAGTCGTTACAGCTGATGGCGAGATTCTGCCTGGAGCGGCGAGGAAGAAAGGAGGCAATGTGTAAAACCAATTCTACCGGCAAATCGCCTAATGAAGGAGTTCTACTATAGCAATCCATCGTGAGTGTGTAGAAGCGTTGTTGATGTCGATTATTTTCATATATTTGAGTACTGCAGATGGCCAGCTAATCTGTTCAGCATCATAGGGTTGTCGATCTCGATGGTTTTATGAGATGTTGTACGCTAATAACAATGCCTTTCTCACCGAAGAGTTAGCTTTATTGCAAGCTTCTTTCTCGAGACGGTGCCTTGTAGATATCAAAACAAAGTTCTCTTTCCGTTCAATTTGATTTATTATCACGTCGAGACAAAGACGAACAACGCTGGTCTAGCGTGAGTGTGAAGGAAGGGGAATCGAGTGAATGCTCCCTATGATGTCTGAAATCGAGCCGGTGTAGAGCTTCGCGATTACGATAAAACGATACTCGGTCAGACCAAATTAATCATGATTTCTTTGGTATCATTGTTCAGTGGTTATCAAAAATGATTTATTCGATGTGATAATCCAAGCGATGCCAATGAAAAGTCCATCTGGATCCAACTTCATTATATCCCATCAAACATGATAACGCCCCCGTGCCCAAAATGAAGATCTGAACGCCACTCTGCCATCGAAAAATAAGTAGTCCTGCAGAATGCCCTGGTATAATGATCGTGTCGAATGCATTGCGAAAAGGGGTATATCCGAGAGAATGCCAGAATGTTAATGAACCGTCCCAATGCGGGCAGCTTGAAAAGAGATGTTGTTCGTGCAGAAATCACCAGTCAGAAATCGATCCTCACACCTCCTCTCTGGGATGAACTGGAGGCACGTTCATCTCACTGATAGCATCATCATCGCGCTTCGGCATGGTCAGGCCAAAAGCCTTGGTAGTAACAACCGCTCCTGCGCCACTATCACCGTCCGCTCCTTTAGACCCATCTCGAAGCTCCCAACTCCCAACTCGCTCATGACGAGCGCCTCCCTTAGCGACTGCCAAGTCTGTGTCACTAGCCATCTTCTCTGCACCCTTGAATCCTCCGAGACTGCTGTTTCTCCGGACAGGATCGTGGCGAACGATTCTGACACCGCCAAGGATCATGGCAGCTAAAAGAGCCAAGCCTAGAACAGCTACCGTAACTGCTGCACCAATGACTCCTCCGACAGCGGGTGTAACTGGGCTAGACCCAGCGGCGCCGTATGCAGATGACGAGCCGTCAGTGTTGGCAGCAAGGCCTTCACAGAAGATATTAACACTATCGCAGGTCTGGCACCATCCAGATACACTGCCTACCGAAATCCCAGCCATTTTTGCCTTGAAGTCAGTGAAGCGCATGCTGCTCTCCGAATACGGGTTGCCAAAGATTGGATATTCGGTGAACGCCGCCTCGGAGTCCGTTCCATTGCGGTAGAGAAACCGCACCCACATCTCTTCCTCGGAGGGATACACTGTTGTATCTGAGCCCACCGAGAATAATTCCCACAACATTGCTGCACCAGGATTGGGCAAATCGTTGAAAACTCCTGCACCTGGGACGCTGACGAGATCAGCCAAAGCAAAATAAGACATAAATGGCTCGTAGGAGCCAAAGACAACGCTCAGCTTATCGACAGAGCCTGCATTATTGAAGCTCTCCTGCAACTGAGAGACCACCTTCGCTGCAAGGGTGCGCCCTGCGATCGCTCCGATATTATTACCAGAGACAGTCAAATTGGCATAGTCTTTCTGCTGAGTGGCAGCGAGATCTCTCAGATACGCGAGATCCGTTGCCGTCATATGTTCTCTGATGCTTTCATCATGAGTCCATAGGTATTGTGCATATTCATAAAGCTCGTATGCATTATTGAAGTTTGCCTTGTTAAGATCGAAAGCTGTGAAGATCTTTTGCCAAAGCCCATGGTAGAAATCCAGTGTGTCTTCGTATAGTGAATTGACGACCGAGTTGTTCTTTATGTTGTAAACGGAGTTCATGTATGTCCAACATTGAACGTGACCTTGGATCCTGCCAGAACATTGTAAGACACGGCATACGCAGCCAAAAGTAGTTCTATACCAACTTACCAAATAGATTCAGGATCTAGAATGGACATTGTCCGTACTTTGGGGTACTGGTAGCCATCTAGAGGGAACTCAAGCAGAGTATTATCGGCAAGACTAGCACCTGTGGTGCCGCCGGCGTTGTCCGAATATGTCTGCTCGCTCGGAGGGTAGAGGCCTTGCATGAAAGCCAGCGCACTCTCAGCCGTCCACTCATCAGTGTTGGTGGCGATGTAGAGCTGGCTGTTGTCAATTGCATTCCATTCAATGCCCTGAATACGCGCATTATCCGTAACATTCACAGCAGCTTCGGTCAAGTTCGCATCTGGGTGAAGATAGCGGGCACGAAACATTGAGCCCTGCTCGTACATTTGCTGGGCGCCGAGCGCGGTGAGAGCTGACGAGCGGCCAGGAGCCGTCTGGGGCGGCGCACGCTCGCCATAAAAGACGTACGCAAAAGAAGACCAAACGACCTCAGTGTCATCTGTCGTCTGGGCGGAGCTGCTCACAACGAGTGCCGCGAGGCTTATCACCAGCGCCAAGGTAGCCATCTCGGGCGGGGTAGAAGGGCGGTAAGCTCCTGTAAGTGGGAATGAAGATGCTCGTAAGATGTGGGATATCAGTCGCGGACAATTGAACCTCCACAGAGCTATATCCGTCACGGCCTCAAATACTGAGTGCTCAAGCTGGCCGACAAGAGGCAGAATCATGCAGGCCGCGGAGGTGAAGAGAGGAAGAGGTCGGGGAAGCTACAATCGGAGACACACGAGGGGAGCTCGTTGATTGAAAAAGGAAACAGCCTTGCTCACCTATCTACTACCCAGCTACCTATCTTACCTACATATCGAGCTATGGTGCGAGCTGCATGCAAAGGATTGGGCTGTACAGAATGCCTTCCTGCCTACCTTTCCGGAGAGCGTCTAGCGGGATGCAGCCGAGAAAGATGGCACCTTACCACAGTCTGTAGATCACCAATCAAACGTCATCGAAGCTCACCCACCTGAATCAGGGTGCCAGCAGAGAGCAGCTTGCGAGGTACAGAGAAGGCGCCATAGTTGTGCAAAGTGACATGTGAGCTGGTGTGCAGAGAGAGGGGTAGCATGGTAGCTCCCCTCCTCCATCGTCGATTTACCTTTGACTTTAGGTTTAACATTTGGGGCTGCTTCCCGTAGGTTAGCATAAGTGCAGACCACCCGGCCGCAGAAGGAAGGTGGGGCAGCTCACCAATAAAGGTCTGGTCACCTCCCGTCAATCCCGAACTCTTATCACCTTATCACCCAGCCTCTCAATAAAAAATGATAAGAATAAACTGTGTTTCTTCACCCAAGTCACACAGTCATGACTGCTTGTATCAAAAGATATAAAATTAAAAATAGAAAAGATTGACAAAAAATAAAGAAAGGCGTAAGTGGCCTCTCGGAATCCAATGCCTGACCTTGAGATAACTGGGTTTAAAACGCTCCGTCTCGCACTCTGACCGCTTCGGGAAGGCCCCACATGCTCTCAGAGGTCTCTTTACAACTCATCCACCTTTCTCTCACCACTTCCTCACGCCACGACATGCAAATGCTCGATTTTAGTCACTTACCAATTAAAAAATCAGACAACGATCTCGAAGAATAAGTAATAGAAGTAAAATGGCCTTGAATCGTGATCATTTGATATTTCTGTTCAGTTGTGCCCGATTATGCAGGTTATCAACAGACATGTCTGCAGGTAACGTGTAAACCCACCGCCGAGACTGCGGCAGGTACAATGCCACAATAAATTCACCTGCTATATCTTGTATGCCAATGTCTCTATCCTGTCATTCAAGGCTCTAAAATCAAGGCTTTGAGACATTGAGTGCCAGTACAGTGATTGCTTTTAGGATCCATCAGCCTCGATTCCTCGAAGCACAATCTGGTGGAAGTCTCATATTTAAAAACATTCTATAGACATGAGATAGAAAATGTCTAAACCGTAAATTTTATTATCCCGGCTTGTGGTGTCTATTCACTTCCTGCCTCATAGGCGTCTTGAGTGTAAAATAACAAAACCACACTGAAACCCCCGTTTGATCCATCCAAGACCATGTATTGATCTTAGTAGCCCGCCTCCTTCAATTCCTCCTCGACCTGCCTCTTCACCAACTCCCTTACGGCTTGCCAGCTGTTTTCCACATCGGTCACTCGTCTCTCCTTTTCGCTTAGACCAACAAAGTCAGATGGGAGGACTTTCTCCTCAAAGTTGAAGCCGGGCTCATCCTTAAGCGCCATCTCCACCGCGTTGGCAAATTTGGCAGGATGCGCCGTTGAAAGTGAGATGTGCGGCACCTCAGTACCAGCCCTCTCGATCGATCGCAGAGAAGCGGCAACGCCGACCGCCGAGTGAGGATCTAGGATATAGTCGACAGTCTTGTGGATGGTCTTGATAGTCTCGACGGTCTCGGGATCGCTAACGCGCTCACTCTCGAAACTCCTACGAGCTGCCTTGATCACATCCTCATGCACACCGAAGCCGCCCTTGGTCTTGAGGTCTTTCAGCCAAGCGCTAACTTCTTGACCAGCTTGCTTCTTGTTCCACTCGTCGTTCATCCCCGCAGTAGACGCAAACTCGTAGGCAAGGAACCAAAGTAGTCGCTCGAAGTTACTTGAAACCAAAATGTCCATGGCCGGGCTAAGTGTTCCCTTGACGCCATCCTCTTTAGCTTCGACTCCATCCTCGACAAGACCACCCTCGGCTTCCTCACCCTTGGCCTTTTGCTTCTCATACCGGCCAGACTTCCAAAATCGGTCTAGAATATCGTTCTCATTGGTAGCAACCACGAGTTTCTCGACCGGCAGTCCCATTCGATGCGCAAAGTACCCTGCAAGGATGTCTCCGAAATTGCCTGTAGGAACAACGAAGCGAACCTTGTCACCAATCTTGAATGATGATGACGCCTTCGCCAGCGAGAAGTATGAGTGGAAGTAGTACACTATCTGTGCCAGGATCCGAGCCCAGTTGATACTGTTCACTGCGCCAAGCTTCAGGGTCGAATTGATGTCAGGATCCGCAAAGAGAGCCTTGACTATATCCTGACAGTCATCAAAGGTTCCTGTGACAGCCAGATTATGAACATTCTTGTCCAAGACAGTCGTCATCTGAGCCTCTTGTATCGGGCTCACTCTTCCCTTCGGGTGTAGAATGAACACTGAGACATCCTTCTTTCCTCGTAGTCCGTAGATAGCTGCAGAGCCAGTGTCGCCGCTCGTAGCACCTACAACAGTCAGGTGGTGCCTGTCTGCAATGTCGTCAGTATGTCGTGGTCGCTCAATACCAGGACGAAGCGCGATGCCTTACCTCTTCCCGTCTTGCCCTCGTTCCTCCTGACCAAGAAGTATTCAAACAGGTTGCCTAGATTTTGCAGAGCGACATCCTTGAACGCGTATGTAGGACCGTGAAAGAGCTCGAGAAGGTAGAGGTTGTCTTTTAGGTGAACAAGAGGTGTCACATCGGCGGCACGGAAGGTCGAGTAGCTTCGATTGATGATTCCCTTGAGGTCTTCGACTGGGATCTCGGCAGCGGATATGTAGAGTGACATGACATTGTAGGCAAGCTCGGGGAACGAGAGGTCTTTCCAGCTTTCCCAATTGGTCGCAATAGGAACTTCCTCTGGGATGTACAGGCCACCATCGCTGGCAAGGCCCTTCAGGACAACGTCTTCGAAGGAAAGCTGAAAGCGGTCAATTGAGTTCACTTCAGCATGTCGACGAGCAATGCAGACTTACATCGTAATCATCGCCACGTGTGCTCAAATACCGCTGCGAAGCAGTATGAGTGCCTGCGGAGGCTCCATTGGTAGTCGCACCGTTCGACATGGCTTCGACTCTTCTCAATTAATCACCTGCTTGAGCAAAAGCCGAAGAGTCACTCAGCAATTGAAATCGAATGCAAATATGATTCACATTGCTGTAGTAAGTTTGGCGCCGAACTTCGGCCCCGCGGAGGCAGAAAAATTTGCCCCGCCGTACTGATCGAGGCGGGGTGCACCAACCCTCGCCCGCCTGGGAAATCTCGATAAGTCGGCTATTTTAGTGTTAACAAATAGCGCAGGCCACGTTTGTCTGGACTTGCGATCGATTAGTTCTCGCTTTGTCTTGGAATTGATTGGCAGCAATGATCGGGACTGCGATGGACGTGTATGACTTGAGGCCATGATGAATGCCTCAGGGAAAACGAACTACTTTATACTCGGATTATCGACTTATTTTTAGTCTACCGTTAATAGCCAGTGAAAACATCAATACACAATCGTTGGAGCAAGAGCAATTCATTTGCGCAGCGACTTGAGCAATGGCGCTATCCTCGAGCGCTTGCTCAATCCCACACGATATGTGACTTTGCTTAGCTGGCTGTTGCTAACAGCCATCTTTGTGCTCTGCGAAAAGGTATCTTTCTCAGATGGCTCTGGTTCTATCATCTCCTTCTTGCCTGGTGCCAAAACAGCAAGGTTTTCGCTGCCTTCATCTCTCGAAGGTGGTGCTTCAGAATTTGTAGCAATATTGCTTATATCCTTTAGTATCTCCTTCTCCCGTGGAGTTCTTGGCTCAGGGGAGTCAAGTGTCGCATTTGCCTCCCCTGGTCTCTTTCTTCCTCGTCCTCTCTGTCTCGGCTGATCATCTTGCAGCGTGTCCTGCATAGGTGTTGTGGGAGCTTCAATACTGGCATCTTCAATCCCAGGTGGGTCAGCAATATTTTCCTTTTTGTCACCAAAGTTATCCACATTCTCTGTTATTGTTGGGTTCTTTGATGCAACGGGATAGTCAACCTCGGGACTGACTACTGGCTTCTCTCCTTTCTTCGGCCGACCTCGTTTTCTTTTAAGCGGCGCGGGTGTATCCATTGTCAGGGCTTGCGAACCAACTCCGCTGGTTTCCACGTCCCTTTCAACTCCTTCGCCGGATTGTGGTAGCTTTTTCTTGCGTCCCCTCTTCTTGGGCATCGGAGGCTCAGGTACTGCTGCTGGATCTATCGAGGCTTGTCCCGAGGAGATCAGAATCGGCTCGTCATCCTGCTTTTCAACGACCTCTGTGCTTTCGTACGTTTCTTCCTGTAATTGCGTGTTGGGCAAAGTTGCAGCTGCTGACCTTCGCCTACTTGGTCTTGGTACATATCGCTCCATAAGCAATTCCGCATCCTCCGTATCCCGAGGCAAACCCTGAACAAGATTCGGTTGCTTCTTCTTCCGTTTATTACCGACGCTAGGTAGGTTGACATCTTCTGATATAGCCCGTTGTAGCGCAAACTCTTGAACTTGCCTTGCTCGGTCGTGGTACGGCGAGGAGCCCGTCAGGATATCAGGGGAGGAGTTTGGCTGCAAAATATCAGCTTGGAATAGAGCGACTGTTCCTCTCTTCATACCTCGTCGCCTCCTTCTATTACCATTCGCTTCTTGACGCTCAAAGAAACTGACATGGACGACACCATCTCCACAGGTGCTTGAACCGCGGATAGAGGTGGGGCGTCAGACGAGCCAAAACCGCTTGGGGTTGTGTAGGCAATAGTTGCATCATCACTCGACCTCTGCTCGATCTGATAAGCGGTACTCTTCGTGAGACGGGCTTTTCCCTGCCCCTCCGCGCCATGATCTGACGAACAAATGATTGGCTGGTATTGACGTTTCTGACTCGCACTCAGTTGATTCTGGGCGATATAGAATGAAGCTCCAGATGGCTCGACTGCCCCCTCCGATTCTGTCTTCATGGTGTCGTACACCACACTGCCAGAGCTTTCTTTGCCCGGAAGTCCGGCCGCCGACGACGTATTGGCATATTCCGTTCTAGGGACGAGCACCAAATCAACATCGTCCGTGGCGAGGCGGATATTGAAGTTGGGTTCACTGATTTTTCTTCTCTTTGCAGGACCAGTCGAGGGGTCATCGTACTCATATCCCCCGGTGGCATGACCTTGCTCTACACTCTGCAGACTCTTATGTGCAGGAGTAAGCCGTTGGCTTTTCTTCCTTTTGCTGTAAGTCTTTGTGTTCTTAGGTCTTACGCCATTGTCGTCCTCTCCAGGCGAACTACTAGGGATGGCATAGGGATCTACCGACGCGCTAAACTTCTTGCCCGGAGTCGTGATCTGAGTGATGCTTTCGAAGTCTTTGGCGCTACTGATCTTTTTGCGGCGGCTTGCAACAACTGGGTCTGTGATTGATGACGAATGGTTTCCCTTGTCATCATCCCTCATCGAGTTTGGTCGAATAGATGACTCTTCAACAAAGTCAATGCCCGCGCGTTCCCCATTTAAAGACTCTATATCTGCGCCGAGAGCTACTCGATGTTTCTGATCAGCATAGACGTTCTCGAAATACTCGGGATCTGTAGATCGCGAGGCGCTGGCGGTTGGCGCGTCTGGCGCACCTTCTACCGTGTAGATTGGGCTGGCATGATCGCTTTTCACGGGGCTAAAGCCGCCATCCTCATCATCAGAATCCTGGATTACCCCCCGACCAGGCATTTTCTGTCTGCGTCATTCCAGTAGGGTCTGTTGATAGGATTTTGGAGATGAAGCTTACATGGCTACCTAGGTAGGTTTTACGGTCGCGACACCCATTTGGGACGCGTCGCGGGGTCAGGTACGATTGCACGTGACACATATCTAAGTCAACTGCTATCTGCTCTCCAGAACCACCTCTAAAACAACGCCAAAAGGCACGGCAGACGAGTTAACTTTGCAGATTTATATGTATCATCGAGGGTATTTCCTCACTCAATCTCTTCTATTCTAGGTCTCTCAGTTCCAGTACGCCCAACTGATCTGTCCGGATCGATATCTAAGCCAGCCAGCTTGGTTAATTTTGGCGTCTGTAGCTGTGTTTCCGATATGAGGGATCCGATTCGTAAGTTTTCCAGGCTTTCTACAACGTCTCGAGCATGCTGCTTGACGAGGCCGTCACTGTCCGTGCCAGCTATGTAATTGAGAACCCTCTTGATGTCCGCTTGGCTTTCTTCCGTTAGGCCAAACCCGAGCCTTCTTCCTTGCTGTTTTGCGCTGTCTAGAGCACGTACAAAGCTCATGATCAAGAGAACAGCTGACCGTCTTAGAATCCCCTTTTCCATTTCTGGCTCCATCGTCAGGATGTTGACTGCCAAATCCACCGACCCTGAGGTAAGTGCAGACCCGATCCCGACAATATTCGTCTCGAGAGCCGCTCCAAAGACCGAAAGAGCAGAAGATCGAATACGAACGTCTTCGCTGCCTCGTTTGCTCTCCCAACCGCCGACTATGCGTGACAGGATTTCGTTTCTAGCCGCTTCTTCCTCATCGATGCCCTCTCCTAGGTCGGGTACTTCTCCGCCCCACGCGTTTTCGGCCTCGCGCTTCTTCATATGCCGAAGGCGTTCTTGCCTAGCTTGTTGCTGCTCTGTCTTTGGGCGGTAGCCACGTCGGCCAGCGGTCGAGAGCAAAGCTTGACTGACTTGTTGTGCTGTCTCACCGGTGAATGTTTCGCCTAAACGCTCGATGACTTGCATCAGAGCCTCGCCAAATCGCAAACGCGTGTCAACAGTCGCTGCTTCATTGGCGTCCACATAATGGTCGAGTAACTCCTTGGTAGCGCTTTTAGGATGTTTGTTCGCAATTTGGGTGAAAATCTTGATTACGCGGAGATTGATGTAATCTTCATTCTCTTCCAAGAGCGATGACATGAGCACCAGGGTTGCCTGTATATCTATCGTAGGGCTGTCATTTGTTATAAGTCTTTGTAGGAGAGTGAGTCCCTCAGAGCGAACAGGCGGTGGCGAATCCGGCTGTGTAATATAAGACATGGCCAATTGGTGTGTCCTTCGCTCTTCCTTCTGGCGTTCGGTAGGACCCTGCGATACATCTTGAGGATCCTGGAGCTCATCGTGATATCGTAGTAAGAGCGAGAGGTTCCGTGCGGTACTAGAAACATTATCGTCATGAAGCTTCCCGAGACGTGTCAGAGATTCCTCTAAAGCCTGAATGACTTCAGCATCAACTTTCGACTTTTGAAAACGAGGAGATGCCACCACGAGGTTGACCAGACTTAGAGCTACCGAGAGCATATCGTCTTCATCGGATTTCTCGTTCTTCAAGATTGGTACCACGAGTTCCAGGATAGCGTCCGGTCGTGAGATGAGTTGTTCCGGGAATCTCTCCATCATTTTCTGGAGCACTTTAGCTTCCACAAGTTGAACTATCGCGCCCTGTCCTGTTTCCTCTGAAACGGGAATGTGAATTACATTTTTATGTTCGTTGATTGCAAAGTGTCGTGAAAAGATATCCAAGAAGGTAGCGGAAATATCTTCATTCGACGAGACAGACTGTATAATACCCAACAGTGCGTCCACCTTCCTTTCAATGTCATTCCAGTCAAATTGTGATACAGCATCTGCTCGCATTTGGCGAGGCCGGATGACTTGGATATCCCCGTTAGTTGTTTCCTGAAATTTCCATGGGGACTTGTCGTCAGAAGAATTCCCATTGAAACGAATATCCTGGATGATCTTTGAAATCTTGTCCGGGGATGTAGTTATCTGCAGGTATATCTTCAAGAGATTTCGCGCCGGGATACAATACGTCTTCTCGCATGGAGATTTCGGGTTTGGCCAAGATGCAATAGCCCATAGAGACAGCACAACCGGAGTAATTAGCCTCCTTGACAATCCCGGATTTGGATGGGATATGAGCAACGATAGCAAACGAGAGATGGCCAAGGACAGCTGCCTTGCAGAGAACAGTCTAGTATCTTTAGTGAGGTCGACAATGCTGTCCGCGGTCTCACGCAAGGAAGCATCGTACTGCGTGGGGGGGGCCAGTGAAGGGTTGATGGTTCGCAGCATCGGATCTGCGAAAGCCTTCCATCCAGAGTTGCCTGGTGCGCCAAACTGTCGTCGACCGAGGATGCCGAATCCAATCACATAGGAGGCGACCTTCATAAGTTCTGGCCCGTCTTGGCCATCCAACAGGGAAAACAACTGGGGGGCGATGCCTGAAAACCAAGCATCAGCTGTCATGCCGGATGGAGGGTTTCCTAAGAGGCGAGTTGCCATATTGAGAGCTTCTTGGGTGATGTTGGCTCCTTGCTTCTGCGGGCTTGCCTCTTCAGGAGCACCAACAGTACTAGACGGATGGACGGAAAAGATGAACTCAACGGTAGCGCGTACGCCGCCATGTCGTAAAGGAATTCGTGTAAGAACCTCCATGAACTTCTGCTGCAGCCATGGTGGGAGCTTCCCGGGCTGTATTAATGAGTTCAAGGCTGGAATCAGATTTAGTGATCCTATACTTGGGAAGGTCAGCAATACACAAGCCAACAGAGCTTTGGTTACATACCTTTGGATCTCACGATTGAAAGTCTCTTGAGCTTCTCTTCTTGAGTCGGGGCCGCCGGCTGGACTAAAAGCCTCAGTTCCGAGCTTGATGAGCGAGTCCATCAGCGCTTCGCGCGACTTCTTATCGGACGCCCTTGCATCCATGTCGATGCTCAAAGTCGAACCTTCGTTAGCTATGGATGCTCACAAAAAATCATCCTTGTGCAAGGTTGTACAGAAGGGCTATCTGGCGGGTGTCATAGGTCTTCACAATATGCCGAAAGCATATTCTCAGTAGGTGATACAAATATTCTTTCTGGTTGCTTACTGTCAAGCAACATATTGTAAGGGCAGAAAAGACGTCGGTTTGATTGATGACTAACTCACCTGAGGGTCGAGAAATCCTTGGTTGCGTTGCGGACACTGGTCTTAGCTCCCGAACCCCACTAACCCCTAAATGCACTAGTGGATTTCGACGCGTTAGCTGTAACCAGACCGTGTCTATCTTGTGCTCGAAGCTCTCAACTTCTTTCTTCCTTACCTTTTTGTTCCGCATCCTAACGAGATTCCGCTTCACAATGCTCAGCAATCAAATCAGTTCCCGAATTCTGTCGTTTTCCAGAAAGCATGCCTGAAATATATCTCTACGCCGAGTAACCATCCATATACGCGCTGCTCGCGCGGCTTGGAATTCCGATATCAATCCACTAGAAGCTCTTTCGCTGCTCCTCGAGGACAGCATCATCTACCGCATGACGCCTCCCGCACAGTTCTCCGATTTTCATTTTCCGCAAGGAATGTCGTTAAGACCTCTCTGCATGGCTGGAACATCACAACACGTCGCATCTCGCACCTGTATCAGGAATACCGATGATCGCTGCGGGTGGATTCGTTGTGCCACGGTTGTCAACAACTGACAAGCCAGCCCCGCTGAGAGAATGGGTTTCGGAACTTAACCCTAAGTATCCCATTGGTTCCAAGTTTTGCGCTCATAGTCGTCCAAGCTGCTCTCTAAGTTCAATGTGCCCGCCGGTTGAGTGTTACCGCTGAAAAGTTGTACTCACGAGACGGGGCGCTGAGGACGGAAAGGCGGGGAGGACATTCCAGACATCTTCGGATGCGTGAGTGATCAGTTCCCATGAGTCATTCGGTAAGAACCTCTGGTCTGAGGTCACTCGTCAGGGCTGCATCGCTGGAACTCGAACTTTGGTCATTATGGTCGTTCTAGAGGTGTCACTCCTACGCTTCAGATCACGTCTAGCTCAGTCTCAGCTATTGTATCCGCTTCGAGGCCGCCGTCTCAGCTATGATCGCCTTCTCGTTTTATCTAAGGGAAGGGCACGGCATTGGGCCCATACGATCAGTACCCTAGACGCTTCCTTTTGCCCCGGATTCACCTCGCAGCACGAGGATCCGCACGCTACATACAGAAGTGTCGCAAAGGGACTGATGATCACTTACCATGCAGACCTGCCCTGGGTACCCGATGATCTACGATGCACTTTGTTGCCTTTTCTCGACGAGCTAGACGTTGACCTTACGCAGTCTCGACTCTCAGGACCACGCCACGGCAACAGCCACCGGCGTGTCACGCATGCGTGTGACTGACCAGGCGCATCAGCCTGCATCCGTGTGTCTCGTCTCACGGATCGCCAGGACGCCAAACGTATCGTTGTTACCGCTTAGTACTGCGATAAATTTCCTCTCGTCAACTAGAAATAGACCAGACTGGAGACGACAGCACGGCTTTTGAGGATGTCTTTTGTCCGCGCGAATTGCCCTCCTATACAAGCCATCCCCGGCTTCCTCGATGGAGAGGAAACAAAAACTAATCCTTGTTGGCAATGCGATCACACGGAAAGAGCTTCCTCTGGACTTTATATGGGAAAACCTTGTCGCATTGCCGCACGTGGCCTCAGCGAAAGGTATATTGACGACGGCATGATTTTCATAAGGAAAGACAGCGTGAAGGAACTGATGCGCTTGCAAAGCGTGAAGCTGACGGGAGCGAGCAACAATTTCACACGATTTGAGGCTACTGAACCTCTTGGGACCGATGAGGAGCACCTGGATTCTCCGAAGCAGCACTGGGACCCATCTCGAGTTGGAGTCAAGGTTTCGTGCCTGTCCGGTGTTGTGGGAGGAGTACAGATGGTCTTCTTTGAGGAACTTTAGGCGCGGTGAAAGAGAATCGGTAAAACGTCTTTGGAAAGGGGCAGGCAATGATATGCAGTCCCGGTTGCTCTTCCTTCAGAAATGGCGGAAGGGCAACCCCCTGGGTACCTGGGGATAAGTTTGCCCTCCTTTTAAATTGAGTGATGTGGGTGCTAACATTTGACGGAGATTAGGATCTCGGCCGCACAATTGCCTTGCTATCCCATCTCTCGAAAGTCTCTTTGAAAGGTCTGGGCAACACGAATTGGATCTAATCTTATTTGCAGGGTAAAAGGCGTAGTAATAAGCTCACAAATTCTGAAACAGGGCGCCATCTTTGAAATGCGTAGGCCAAGGCACAGGAGGAACGGGGTGCTGGGTTTGTTCCAGCGCAGCAAAGTGTGGTATTGATGCAGGTTTTCCTGCTTTCGACCCCTGATGCTCGGTTCCGGATCTCCCGCTAAGATCCAGCTTCGACCAATGATCTTGGCGAGGCACCGCCCGAAATGGCAGGAAGGCACAGCACCCCAGCCCGCCCTGACGTCACTAGGCAAGTTGAGCAGCGCGACAGCAGCAATGATGGCATTGGGAACAGTTTCCAGTGTCCTGGACTTGATTAATTGTTAAGCCTGGCTCCAGACTACCTCACAGCATAAGTAGTCAACATACGCCTGTTTTGAAGCGGTGAAAATCCATTGTGAATAGACGTTCAATCGCGCCACTAAATCCCGCGCCGTCAAAGGCCCAGAACGCGCTCTTTGTGGCCGTTGTGCAACTTTAAAATCAACCCGCTTCGACCCAGAACTCCCGTTAAGCTTAAAAGAATGGCCCTCTACAAAGCCGCGATCGTACTTGGCACGCTGTCGGGAGCGCTCGCAGCCCCGGCGCCGGCGGCCGCTCCTGGTCCACACCCACAAATCACGCCTGCTCCCGTCCTTTCTCAGCAGGAATTAGAGAGACGATTCGATATTGGTAGCTATGTGGACAGTGTAATCAGCGGCATCGGCAGCGATGTCTCGAGCTTCGTCGCGTCCGGTGTGCCGCAGTACTTCAATGATCTTCCAACTGGCACTGCAGTGGAGAGTTCTTTGGGCATATCTAGCAGTGATCTCGCTGCCAAGCCGACCCAAGCGCTGAATGTTCCGTATGTTTCAAGCGCAAACTTGTTACTTGTCTGATCGAGAACTAACAAGTTGCAGGGCATATGCAAACTGGACAGATCAAGGATGGAATGTCCGGGTCCATGGAAACATCTTCAAGCAGCCAGACATCTCGGAGCAAAAGCTGAACGACCTCGCGAACGTTTTCCTGATTGATGTCGATATCAAGGATCTCCCTCAAAACCAGCAGAACCAGGCGAGGAACATGACCTCCGAGATATTCGTCGTGCAACAGGAGAACGTCGCAGTCACGGTGAACTTCGTGAATGACGTGAGTGTTGAGCCGTCCCACGACAGCGGTGCAGTCAATGCAGCTGGCGGAGCTCAGACAATTCACATGCCACACAATACGACGGAACAGGGCGATTTCGACGCATTCGTCGTTCTAAAGAACACTACGGGACCGCTCGGTGCCTACATGATTCCAGGAGATGTCTCAGATCGCATCCAGACGCTGAACATGTACGTCGAGGGTACCAACACGGGCAATGCCACAGCATGGCTTGTACCCGACGAAGGAATCACAATTCTTTCGGACATTGATGATATTCTTCGCATCACCAAGATCTATGTGCCAAAGGAAGGGCTGCTAAATTCGTTTGCCCGTCCTTTCACGCCTTGGATGAACATGCCTGAGATCTACGCCAATTGGTCAAAAACCGTCCCCAACTTCCATTTCCACTACCTTACAACGACTCCCGAGCAAGTCACGAAGAATTATATGGACTTCATCTATAAGACATATCCACTGGGATCTTTCGACACGAGGCCACTTAACTTCTCAGACGCCTCGGCGACTCTGTCAATCCGGAAGTTCCTGCTAGACAAGATCTTCCAGACGTTTCCGAAGCGGAAGTTCATCCTCGTTGGCGACACCACCAACTCCGATGTCATGAAGGCTTACCCACAGCTTGTGACGGACTATCCCGGACAAGTCCAGTGTATCTTTCTGCGCAACACTAGCAACACTGATTCGGATGATCTGTTCCCGTACGACACGTCTGGCTTCAAGAACATACCTCAGGAGCAGTACATGTTTTTCAATGTTCCAGACGACCTGACGCACCTCGATATAGTAAACGGGCAGTGTTACAATCAGTCCATCAAGCAGAACGTCAGCTTTGAGACACAGGGTCCTTTTGGTCTAGGCGATGAGAACGCGGCAGGCTCGCTGGCGCCGCCTGGCTTCCTTGGTAGCTTGGGCACGTGCATTGGCTTGATGTTGATGTTGGCGGCTGCCCTCTTGTAAAGGACCAACAGCTGCTCCAACTCAGCCACCTGCGCAAGATCGAGATCTGCCGGTCCTTCTGGAGCGCAATCGGGGCATGGTCCTGTTATGGGCGATTTACAGATGATCTAGCGATCCTCGATGTTGGGCATCGCTGAGGGCCCACTGCGACCCGGTCTGGCGGAGTCGGAGTCTCGAGAGGCACTATGTGCTGGCTAAGCCTTGCGAAATTTTTTGAATATGTACGACTTACGATCATTGGTGTTAGGCATTGCATTGGCGTTTAATGGTGTGCGTTTTGTGAGCTGAGAAGGCCACAACGCCTTCTACTACGGCAGGCACTTGACAATGCTTGGGTCTAGACCGCTTGTAATATAGTCAATATGTATGCATACGTAAATCCCTCGTCAGCGGTCCTTGGAGACGGGAGCAACAGTGTGTGAAAATGCCCACAGGCTAGAGGGCAAACCGGATGGTTTTCTAGAGCCCACTAGCCAGCCTTATCGTGCCTTAGGGAGTACCCTCGCGGCGATGGACGGCCCACATCGCAAAAATCTGCCCGATGAGCACCGTACGGCAAGGAATGAGTGCGGAGGAGCGGAGCGAAGGAAGATGGCACGCATTACGGCCGATACATGCGTGTCGCTCCGGTCGAGACACGGACTTTCACCTGTCGAGATCTCCCACGCCAATTTGACGGCCCCGGTCCTCACGAGTCAGCATGCAGATACATGCTGGAATTCGCGAGATCGGCACGGTCAGTCGTCTTGGCTGCTCGGGAATAAGTGAGACATTTTAACGGTTGTCGGTTGCAGGACGTTAGTCGGTCTTTCTGCACCTGCGAGACTGCATGCTATGCGTAGCACACTTACGCAGATGACACGCGATAAGGCAATGGATCATGTCGATGCAGGCCGCTAACATCGGCGCCAAAATAGCACCTGTTCGGTGTCTGAGTGCCCCCGGGCCAGGTCCAGGTTCAGTGTCCACTATGCCGTAGGGAGGTCCAGGGATGCTGGTCTGGCGCCGCGATGCGCTCAGATCTTCCTGTTGATGCTTCCTTAATTTTACTACCGAAATGGCAGCGGAAATTCCCGACAGTCTGGCACCGATGAAGACCTGACTCGTTTGTGTCGAGATCTCGACGGGGGCGTCCCTGATTCCTGGGTCATCGGTGGCGAGAGGATCACGGTAGTCATGTCCGTAATCGCTGACCTGCATGATATGAGACCCGTCGCAGATGATGACAGCTTGGAGCCAGAGGGCAGCAGGATCGATCCATGGCTCTTCAGTAAGTTCAGTCAACCTTTTGAGGTTGCGAATGCCAGAGACATGTCAGCTGACAGAGTTCAATAATGAATTGGCTATGACTCCACTAAGACAACAACCACACTTGGTGATATCAACCATCTTGAGCAGCGTACGTCTTGTTTTCTGGTCTGAGAAACGGCAGACCCCCCGAGTCAGTCGGATATGGCTCCGAGAAAAGTTTTCTCTACGGTTTTCTCTGTCTCGCACCCTCCTTCCGTATTCGCTGGCGTCTATTCCACAAGCCTTGAAGGGCTATTGAGATCTTGCGTAACGGACGCTAAAAGAGCCGCTAAAGACGCAGCCACCGTTATTGGCGGCGCACGCAGGCTCGCAGGGTGGCTCTTTCCCGCTGAAGAGAGATCGAAACCAAGCGGGCAAGTCCCCTCCCACGTGGCAGGGCAGTGATAGCATGCCAATAGTTTAGCTACCTACCTGCCTTAGCTACCGTACCTGCCGTGTCCATTTTGCCTCATTTCGTTTTTGCTTCTTTACTCCGCCCACAAAGAAGAGCCCACGCGCAACGGTTTGCGGAGCCAAGGCCGGCTCTGCCGGCCTGGCTTTCGTGTAGACCGTGATCATGATGATGGTGATGATGGCAGCACGTCACAAGTCGTGCAGCTCGTTGCAACCTCATGTCGGGACAAAGCCCACTTAATATTGCGGTCTCGTCACATCTCGTCCGGAGCTCGTCCCCTCATATCCACTTCGACGGCAACGACGTTGAATTCATACAGCCGCCTTATGCGGTCCGAATAGCCCCTGGACAAGATAGACTACGGCGAGGCCCCATTACGAGAGCATGGCTCTTCCTCAGCCGGCACGCCTGCACAATCGTTGAGTTCACGCTTCGATGCATGAGGCGCTCATATCTCAGCAACGACGGCTTGCATCCCGCCTATCACGGATCATCGCTCACAAGCACGGCGACACTTTCAGCTGCTTCCCGGGTGGCTCACCTGCCTGGTCCCGCCACCCGCTGTCATTCGTGCAGGCTTGCAGCTGCTTCACACCTCCGCCGGAACTATTGCGCTTTTGAGGCTTCGTGTCTCAGAAGGATGAATGGCTCATCACGCCAGTTGTCGACGTTTCAGGGCTACTGCAGTTTCCAGCGGCGAACTACCACGGGTACGTTACCATCATTGGGCCAGCACGGCCAGGAAACATGAAGTATCCTCATGCCCTCTCCACCCGCACGTTCCAACTTCATGACCACTCATGGCTGTGCAATATGCCTAGCTTGAGCCGTTGAACTTATCGGAAGTATTCTCAGACACAGTCCGGCTTCGTAGTAATGGCCTCATTGAGTGCCTGCCTATCTTCCTGCGCTTTGGTACTCAACCATTCGCTCATTCACACAGCGATGTCGAGACGGGGATCCGTCGGATATCGACTAACTTGGATACGCTGAGCAGCATATACATTCAAGCGCCCACCCCTATGTGAGTGACCGTTTTCGGCAGCGGGGTTGCTTGGTACTGTACTAATCGACCTGCTAGTCCTCGCCTCCGTATTAGTGCTGATACCCTCTCGCACCTGGCGAGTCCGATTTTGTTTACCGTAACTTACAGCCCACTAAACCCCCAGGGACCGTGTACTTCAGGCAAATGTTCACGGGCATGCTGCAGAAGCCTCAACGAGACGGGCGTTTGTCCGTTGCCTAGCTCTTCAGGTAGTCAGCCTGTCTCTGTCAGCAGTTGCAAACCACTGTGAGCTTGGCATACGCATCCACGCAAGTAATTATCTACACTCGCCCACCTAACATGAGGTAGGCTGTGCTCATTAACCTCCAAGCCCTGGTTATTCCATTTGATCAAAGACTGGCCGTCCTTCCATTGGGGAACTACTTGGCACAACTCCACACGCTAAGGATGACCAGGATTTGGGATGGCAAGCGCCGAACCGCCATGTCATGCCAATCCACGGCGCTGAAGGGGACCAGAGATGTTATTGCTCCAGGGGTAGTAGGGTACCACTTCGACCTACACTGACCCTTGAATAGCTCCGGTCCATGGTGGATCATCTCCATCTTAGTTCCTTTGTTGAAGACTCCGCTCGTCAGGAGTTGACGTCTTCGCAAGCGGTCATTAACAAATGATGAAAAGTGAGAGGGGCAGTCGGGAGCGAGGGAAGACCCTTTCTCCCTAGTGTTGGTCACAGAAGCTGTGCCGTTCAACATTGCTCCGAACAAAAACTTGATGCTAACGCAGTATTACTATGCAGACAAAAACAACCTGGCCAAATCGCAAGGCGTCTGTGCCGTGAAGCTCTCTTTCTTCGTATTATTGCAATCTCATAAGAATATCCATCCAGCAGAACGCTCCATTCCATACTTTTCACAATCTTCCAATTCATAGCACGATATGTTCCTTGATAACCCGAGACTGGCTTCTCAAACCAAGCCCCCTAGATGCATCCGAGGAGGTCTAGTCGGAAGACCCCCATCCCAGCGCCGGCTTAGTCAAATTCCCAAAATGCAAACCCATTTGCGTGTCGTTTGTGTTCGTCGTCGTCGAAATTTATGGTCTTACACCCATCAATCAAACTCCCGGCCGACACATTCCGAGATCCGGGAGGCGGCCAGTGGCCTAGACACCTGAGCTTGTCGGAAGTCCTGTTGATGCGAGGACCGCACGGGGAGTTGCTCCCGTGGTAGGTATCGGTGGCACAATGGGCTGAGCGACGATGTGTCTCAGAGTCCAGTAGTTACCTGGACCTGAGGTATTCACAATCTCCATCAGCGTGTACTGCAGCGTTCCGCCATGGATTGATGGTACGACAATGTCTCTTGGCATAGTCCACGCCGGTGTGTTCGACGGAGCCTCTTCGGCATCCCGACCCTCAGCCTGAGAGATTGGTCAGTTTCAGGAGTCCGGTGCTTGTTACAAGGTCACTCACAAGGCAAGAGGCGCATGGCGAGCCGTTTACCCAAACCCAATTTTGGCAGTTATGGCTGTAGAAGTACTTGCACCGGTACTTGTAGAATCCACCGCTTCCACTCATGATGACGAACTTGATCAAGCACTTTTGAAGGTTGTGAAGAAGAAAAGGGGAGTGTGGTACTAGTGTGCCAGAATAAGGGGCGTAACGTCGTAAGAGTTGCGAGGCTCAGATCTAGTAATCGTTGCTGCCCGCTGGCAGAGAGCGATCAAGAAGAGAAAGATCTGAAATCGACAAGGCGAGCAACGTCTTTTAATAGAGTTCTTTATGACCCAGTTAAACCCCGACCCTAGAAGGCAAGGTTCCCGAAGATTTAAGTTGGGAAAAGCAATGAGATCGGCACGCGGCTAGGTTCCTTTTATGTGTTCCAGGGGATGGAGCCCTGGACAAGGGAGGCCCGGACGCGGCTGTTAGTCTTAAGTATAGCGGGGTGACTACGTCTAGGATGCCAACAGTAGCCATGCGTTGGCGCTGCGGTGTTGTAAGTACCACCTCCAAGCTGGCAAGGTCGAGTCAGGACAGAATCAACGTCTTTCTTTGTGATTACGCCCTCCATTTTGCTTCCCCCACTTCGGCAAACCCTTCCCTGCAGGATGAGGGCTTACACGGCAGGCCAGTCAGTTTGCAGTGAGAGATCCACCCCTACGAACTTTGAATCCCTTCCGTCTTCAATTCGGCAGACCCTGAAAGACTGCCTCACGTAGCTCCGTCCGGAGGAACGGCCGTCTAACACGGGCTCCTCCTATGGAGCTACCGTGGCCCAATACCGACTA